TAGGTGCATCAACAGGACGATGAAAGACAAAGCTGTGATTTAAAGTGTCGGTAGTTGGATAGTTCGATGTCTTCATTCGTCACTATCAGCTACAACGTGAATAAGGCATACTGTATATGCTGTACTCTGTGATGTGTGGTAGTAAGTTTACTGTTGTCAGACAAGGGTCCAACTGCTTCAGACGCTTTTAACCTCTGTCTCGTCAGTGTCTGCAAAGAAGTGAGAAATAGTTGCAAGAGCAGTTTATAAGACTAATTAGTTTCTGTAAAATTTTAATGTAAACATTTAACATTTTTGCATAATCACTGTGATAGTACTCATTACACTACCACCCGTTTGTCCATCATCAGTAGGACTAAATTACTTTTCATTACCAATTAGTGTATTAATCAGGCCGCATATATCTGCCTGAACCTGAGCTGGACCTGACAAGCTTATAGTATATAATGTCTGAGCCCGACGCAATTGAATTTGTACGGTGTTTTTCCCATTTCTAAGTTTCCGTACGTACCCGGCATCAACCCTCAGGTACCAACGGGTCCCGCCAGGCTTGGTTAGGGTGTCTGGACTCTACCAATTACATTGTTATACAAAAGCTATCATGTTGGAAATATCTTTAGTTATCAATTATTTGCCAGTCATGTAGATTCATGTCTTCTTCCTACATTAAAGCCTCTCATCCTCTAACCCTAATATCTGTGTAACTCCTCCACTCAGACATTTAACTGTTTTTCTTACAAATTTTTCATTAACCTCTTTTCTCCTCTTCTTCAGTGTTTTATGTTTAATAACTGAGATGGATGTGCTGGAGTAGTTCCAGCACTTTACCTCAAGCATCCTGGAAAACAGTCATGATCAATGATTTTTGGAAGCATGAGTGGAAAGAGAAATTAAATGATTAGAATGTATGGTTTGATTTAGTTGCCAGGCCTATAATTAAAATATATTTGCACCAAACACTGATTTGTTGGTTGTTCATTAATTTTAACTGTCTTCTTGATCCAAAGATGCTCAGAATTATTCATATCAACCCTCAGATCTTTTCTTAAGGAACTGAAGAGGTGTGTGACTGTTTGCATCCGTTTTTGGTGTGGGTGGATCACTGGCAGCAGTGTGTACATGCCTTAGCAGGGTGTGAATGTGTTCAGGTGTGCGTTTATATGCATTTTCAAAATATGAATCTTCATTATACACATTGGTGTGGTTGTTTGATACTCAAACACAAGCTGCATTTTAACATCAAATTCACAAATATAGTCCTGCCCACACATGGTATTTTTTCCTGGTTTCATATCTACTGCCAGTCGCCACTGTCCTCCACACACATACAGTCATTGCCCAAAATATTGCCACCCCTGCATTTCTGTCAGATAATGCACCACTTTTCCCAGAAAATTGTTGCAATCACAAATTCTTTGGTGTCATCATGTTTATTTCTTTTGTTTGTTTGTATTGAAATAACAAAAAAAAGATCAGATCTTAATACATGTATTCAACAGAACTCTGGACAAAATTACTGATACCCTCAGCTTAATATTTGGTAGCACAGCCTTTGGACAAAATAACTGAAATCAGTCTCTTCCTGTAACCATCAGTGAGTTTCTTCCACCTCTCTACTGAACTTTTCAACCACTCTTCCTTTGCCAACTGCTCCAGGTCTCTCAGATTTGAAGGGTTCCTTCTTCCAGCTGCTGTTCTGAGATCTCTCCAGAGGTGCTCTATGGGATTTAGATCTGGACTCGTTGCTGGTCGCTTCAGAACTCTCCAGCTCATTGTCTGAAACCATTTCTGCTTTTTTGAAGTCTGCTTTGGGCCATTGTCCTGCTGCACATTGAGCCCCAGAATTCACTTCATAATGCCTTACACACAGTCAAGACATCCAGTCTCTGAAGCAGCAAAGCAGCCCCAAAACTTCAGTGACCCTCCATCGTGTTTGACTGTCGCAAACTGTGCTGTAGGTCATCTTGAACTTGTTTGGAAGTTGATCGAGGTTCTTTATCCACCATTTGAACAAGTCCATTTTTGCAGTTCTGTGCGGAATGTATCAGATTTGGTGAACAAGTCCATTTTTGCAGTTTTGTGTGGAATGTATCAGATTTGGTGTTTTCCTCTTTTTTGTTCCAAAAGAAACATACTGTACATTGCCAAGTCCTGTGTGTAGAATCTACAGATGTGTAAGTCCCTGAGCAAACATGATATTGATATGATACTGATAGTGCAAACAAAAGAAATAAACATGACAATACCAAAGAATTTGTGATTGAAGTGGTGTGTTATCTGACAGAACTGCAGGGGTGCCAATATTTTTGGTCATGACTACTTCTGCCATGAGAAATGTGCTCTGCCTGGATAGATTGAAGGTACTGTATGTGCAGATTGATGAGGTGGAGATGAATGTTCATCTACAGAAAGAAACATAAGACGGACTCTGTCTGCTTATCCCCAGCACCACCCGCTGTTTTATTTTTTGTTTGTTTTGTGGAAAACATGAGACATTCAGCAATTCTATTTGTTTGTTGACACTCAGATATTTTCGTTGGCAATAGTACAGTACATCTAACAACAACCCTTGACATGCCATACAAGTCCTCACAGGTAATTTAAGGCCTAATTACAAGGTTAATACGGTGCCAAGTTGCCAAGTATTTGTTTAATAGGTGTGAAGTTAAATGTCCAAATCTGTTAGTCACAGTTATTCAGTGTCATCTCAAAAAAGTAGTTTAATATGTAATCTCCATTTACTCCCTTTACTTTCATAAGAATGAAGTGAAGGGAAAAATGATCTATAGAACAATTATAGTACATCAAACTCAAAACAAAGACAAAAGGGGGGGCACAAAGAACCATAAAGAAATTCCCTGCCACACATTCTTCTCTTCTTCCCTTTTATTAAATGGCCTTCATAGAATCTGCTGGTGTAGCATGTTGGGTTCAAGCAAATGCATGTTCCAGCATCAGTTGTCACATCTGACTGAGGGTAAGGCACCAATTAAAGTGCCTGACATCTTCTTAAATGTTGCTGGAGTCTTCCTAGGCTACAACAGTAGAGGATCTTTTCTGGAGTACAATAGGAGTTTATTAAGCCATTGTCTGATGTGTTTGATGGCAGGATGTCTGATTTCCAATTCATTAAAATACACTTTTCCATGTGATGCTGGCTAATAAGATCAAATATCTGCCAACAGCTTTCATGTCTGTTGGCTGCAGTTATGTAACTTTCCACTTCCAGCATCCACAGCATTTGTATGCCAATTGTAATTGAGGTGGTTAAGCATTCCCCCATTCCCACTTCCTGCTATGATTCCTGGATATTTGGGCTTGTTGCGCCAAGGACTTGAGTGAGTGACTCCATCTCTTGAAACTTAAAACATTATTCATACAGTTTTAATGTTGAGATTTTTCATTTTAGACCTATGAAACAGCTGCTAAGAATCTCACCACACAGTCTGTTTAATAGCTGTTCTGCAGCTTTTTGTGATAGATGAAGTCACCCCCTTATTACGCAACCGTGGAAAACTGGAAATCTGAGTGACAGCTAGTAAAGCTACATCTGCTGAGGATGATCATGTGAAATGACTGAAAGCTCCAGAATAACTACTAAAAGGACAAGACAGGATTGTTTTATCAAACAATTTTAATAATGATAGTAATAACATGGCTTTTGTGTTGCACCTGGGAGTTGAAAGTACAACTGCAAAGTGTCTCTGAGCAACATAAAGAGTATCTGTTTTTCCAGACAGGTGAACACACCCAGAGAGTGCGACTGTGTGACTGGATGCATCAAAATGTGCGCTTTCTGCACTATTCCCCACTCTGCTGCACAGAAAGCCACTCTGCTACATTCCTCGCTGTGATGTCCTATTGTTGATACGCTGCACAGAGACGCCCTGATGCTCAGTGACTTACACATCTGTAGATTCTACACACAGGACTTGGCAATGTACAGTATGTTCTTTAATCGTTAACATTAGGCCTCTTTGGAATGGCATTATGCAAAAGACTTCTCCAGTCCTTAGGTTGTCAAATACTTGTCAGTCCATAGATGACTGTACACAGCAAGTTTATCTGAGGCCCAGTACACAGTGTAGTGTCAGGGTGAAGATATGTGGGTGTGAACAGGACAGGTTAAAAACTTTACCAGTTCTAGTCTTGCATTTAGCTGTAAACTCATCAAAACAAACTGAAGGAAAATAAATCAAACAGGGTTATTCTCCACTGTTAACTTCCCATTGCTATCATCACAATTATGTTAGAAAAAGCCAATTTACGTGGTTTTGAATTCCACCCCTTTTTCTTGTGTCAGGGGATAGAAGTAAGGAGAAATGGGGAGAAAGGGTTTGCATTGATCTTCTGTGCAGTAATAAGGAAGAAAGCTTATGTGTGTGTGTGTGTGTGTTGGGAGACTTTGTTAGTGACAGCAGGGACATGGGGACATGCAACAAAGCAACACCTGGTCCACCACGGTACCCCGGTTGTGCAAAATTTATTTTTTCTTTCTCTTTTTTTCTACTGCACTTGTTAACCATTTGGAATCCTTCACAACTTGATTCCTCCCCAACTGTAATTAGTGGTGTTTTGTTCACTTGTAAATGTAATTTGTCAAAACAAGAAGTGTAATTTTCCACTGCAATGTCCCTTCAGCCACATGAATAACACATCTCTGATAATTAAAGGGCCCCTGCTCCCTGTGAGAGATTTGAAAGGGTGTCAGGGCCCTAATGAAAAGGGTGGGAGGTAAGGAGAACAGGTCTGTCCGGTCTTCCTCTGCAGGGTGGATGTCTGGGCAGTGACACACCTGTTAAACTGTCTGGGAGGAGCTGCCCGTGCTAAACACTGTGCTGAGTGTATGTGTGTTTCAATGTGTCTGAGAGGAACCGAAGTGAGAGGAGTGACAGGTTGAGAGCCACAGGGAGAGGAAGACGCAGACGAAGAAGGAGTAAGTGAGAGAGAGAGACTTTTGTGGGATCTCTGCTTGACCCCCCACTGCCACCACCGCCAGGATGTTTAAGAAAAAAGACACCAAGGACAGTACGCTCAAAACCTCGGCCAAGGTCAACAAGTGAGTTTTCCTCTGACAGCTATGAGTGGATTTGTGAATGTATGCAAGCGTGTGTTGACACCGTATCACTGTCATGTTCCCCCTCCTCTTGTTCTTCCCCAAGCTGAGAACTGTGTCATGTTTCCTGTGTGCACCGTTGCCCTCTTTCTCTGTGTGTGTTGTGGTTCCCTTCATCTTATACCCTGGTTGAAACAGATATTTAATGCAAGCTTGCTTGGGGAATTTCTGAAGTGCTAAACCATAGGGATGGTGAAAGTTTAGCGAGATGTTTATCAGCCTGTTTCTTTGTAAACATGAGGCGGTGTGCATTAAGACAGCAGGTGTACAGTACCTAGTGAAACTGTGTTTAGGACAAGAAAGTGACTGAGTAAAAATAGGTTTAGCTCTTTTTCATTTGCTCTCAGGCACCTAGTCCCCAAACATGTGACTTTATGAAACAGATTTCCCTAAAACTAAACCTAGATTTGGGCTTTTGTTGTCTAGTGAAATCTTCTTGTTGATGATCAGATTTCAGATCATTTTATTTTGTCTTTACATAAAAGATGTAGTTGTGAATTCAAACTGAACACACACCCTCTGTTATGCTGATGGCACAGTCTTTTATATACTGTAGCTATGTTCCTTCACTTAAGAGGATGCACTTCAAAAACTTCACTCTGCATTCAACATTTTGGAGACTCAAATTTTTCAATTTAAGTTGGATGTAAATGCAGATAAAAGTAAGCTAATGTTTTTCTATAACTCAAGAACTCAACCATCTGACCTTAGTGACACTGCGACATCTCACAGGAAGAAAACTGAGGTACATGCTATAAATATCTGGGAATCAGGCTCGATGAGTGTCTCACTTTTAAATATCACATTGAAAACCTGATAAGATGCTCTGGTTGAAGTTAGGCTTTTAAAAAAAGACACAAACCCTGTTTTTAATCACAAGCTAGGAAAAGACTGGTTGCAGCCACCTTGCCCGTCCTTGATTATACTGACCTGTTATAATTGAATGCTTTAACTAAACATCCCACGAAACTAAACTCTGTATATCATAGCACCTTAAGATTTGTCACAAACCTTACACCTTTAATTCACCACTGTGTCCAGACTCTAGAGTTGGCTGGCCATCTCTCTCCATGCAGCTTTTGGGACATTGGTATATTTTCATTTATAAAGCCATACTTGGTTGTCTCCCTTCCCTCCCTAAAGAGAAATCTCTCTTTTAAGAGCTCTGTGTCTTGACTGAAGATAATCAAACGGCTGGTTTTCATCCAGATGTCATCCAGACTCATTGAACATCACTGGCAGCTGTGTAGAGTTATTAGCTCTTAAAAGGTTTTGAGCGGGATTGACCTCTCTAACCAATCAGAGAATTTTAATTATTTCTGATTGATCAGTAAGTTTTGTTGCATTCTCATTTACTGTAATGTCATAACGACACATCCAAAGAGCTGGGCAGGGCGTGGTGGAGCGGAGCAGGTCGTAGTAGAACAGAGTGGAGCAGGGAGAGGCAGCGCTGGGCGGAGCAGAAAGGCTTGGTTTGGAGTTTCATGCTACTGCTACCTTAAGTTGCATACTGTAGCGTTAATTTTAATTCAGCTAGCTTTATTTAGGTTACAACATAAGTGTGATACCTCGCTATCATCTACATTTTTATTCACAACATTTAGCTTGTGGAAGGAATACTTCGAGGATCTCCTCAATCCCGGCGCCATGTCTTCCGATGAGGAAGCAGAGGCTCAGGGCTCAGAGGTGGACTCGTCCATCACCCAAGCTGAAGTCACCGAGGTAGTCAAGAAGCTTCTCGGTGGCAAGGCACCGCCCTGAGTACCTTAAGTCTTTGGATGTTGTTGGGCTGTCTTGGTTGACACGCCTCTGCAACGTCGCATGGCGGTCGGGGACAGTCCCTCTGGACTGGCAGACCGGGGTGGTGGTCCCTCTTTTTAAGAAGGGAGACCGGAGGTCGGGGACAGTCCCTCTGGACTGGCAGACCGGGGTGGTGGTCCCTCTTTTTAAGAAGGGAGACCGGAGGTCGGGGACAGTCCCTCTGGACTGGCAGACCGGGGTGGTGGTCCCTCTTTTTAAGAAGGGAGACTGGAGGGTGTGTTCCAATTAACATCTGACTGTATGTTTCTGAGTCAGAGTCTTATGTTAATTCATACCTTTTTACTTAATGAAGCTGCTATTTAGAGTCTTTTTATTTTCTGAAACTATCACTATATGTAGCCTACAGTATCGCATAGCCTACTGTGGAGCCACTCTGGAATTATGCCATCTGCAGACTATGTGACCACTGGTAGGAGCTCTGTAGTGGTCAATACTAATTATCCAGCAAGCTTTACTGGGCAAAAATCCCAACAGTGAGCGTGCAAAGAAATCTCCTGAGTCTGATACTGAGCTTCCTAAGCGTGATGATGGTAACCCTAACCTTTTTTTTTGGCACACTTGCATTAGAAATTTCACTGACAAAATGGTTTTTAAAGAGATACGTTCAACTGCCAAAGTGACTATTGGTAATACTAATAGGCTACTACGTCACCATTTTGTCCCTGTTGGTTGCCACAGTACTGATGTGGTTTTATAGGCAGAGGGTGACGAACGTGTGGTTTTTTCCTTTTCACCTGCCAAGGACATGTTGTCTGTCTTCTAGGGCGTGGGCTGGCCACCCCATAAGCCTACTGCTCAGCTGGTTTCTTTCTCTTGTGTGGGTGTTTGTTTTCCAAATGTACTTTATGCTATGACACAGGACATGTTGCACACTTTCTTTATTTTAAAAAAGTTCCATCACCAATTAAAATATGTTTAAAAGTAATGATTAGGCTCATTATGGGTTCATATTTGTGACTTTTTTTTGCCTACAAAATATAAGCTAATCCATAATTTTCCATGGTGATGCTTCCACATTTTTTTTGCCTGACCAATAATACAATATATAAGCCACAAAAATATACAAATTTCCAGCACACACCAGGGATGTCTAAATAACTGTCTTTAGTATTTAATTTGTGCACTACAAGTTTGCGAAAACACATACATCAACTAACCTGGAGTTCATCTGTTAGGCCCCAACATCATTCATCAGTATCTATGTCATTAACAATGATATAAAACAGGAAAAAGTGGCAAGCTCTTACATTTCAGAAACTGGTGTAGAATAAACAGAAGGCAAACTCAAATTTGACAGATTTTTCTTTTTAAGGTGGTGTCTTTTCAAAGCTTTTTAAAAACGTTTGGTTTGGTTATTGAGAAAATACATTTATTACATTACGACATAACAGACCACCAAGTTTTATCAAAACAGAGACAGGGATTCCAGGTTTGACATTAAAGTTACAGTATTTAACTTTTTTCAGATATTTCGCTCTCATGTTTCTGTCATCGGAGTAAGCAGTCTCTCCTCCCTCCTTCACTGATGTATGAAAGCGACCATACAGACTGAATTTGTAGTTTCTTTTTGTACCTAGCTACGGTGATTTTTCAAAAATATTTCTAGGGAAACAAAGATTATACAAAGATTGTAT